TTCCTTTCCCCCCCCCCCCCCTTAATATTCTGAACAAACTGAAATTCTTTATAAAAGTGCTAGAGAGGTGCCATATTTGGTTTTATATAACACCTTATTGAATTCTGATCGTTTAATTGGCTGTTTATAGTCACGTGATATTGAATAGAGAATTCCATTTCCCAATGGAAATGGAATACGTTCCATTGCACTCTTTGCAAGTTTAGTTTTATTTTAACCCGACATTCGAAACTCATTAAATGAGATTTAATGCAAATACGACTCATCAAAATGGCGGGAGCTTACAGTAAACCTTTTAATATTAGTCTATTTTGGTATCATATAATACAAATAATGAATGTTTTTATTCGTGCAATGGTAAGAACATTTTCATTCAGTGAAAGATGGAGTGTTCCATTGAACTCGGCTGTTGCCTCGTTGAATGGAACATTCCATCTTTCACCGAATGAAAATATTCTTACCAGTGCACTCATAAACATTCATTATTTGTATAATAATTGACTAATATATTCTCAGCAGGAGAGCATTATTGATCTGACAAGACTGACAAGGGATGTTAGAGATGAAAGAGAAGTACTGTAAATTGGGGTGTTGTGTATTTAATGATTTCATTTTAATTAAGGTGGCTCAATACAGTTTTTAAAAAAATGGAAAATTCACAATTTAGATGCGTATTTTTGGACAATTATTACTTGTTGATAAACAAAAAGTACCTTACTTAAATAAAACAATATCTAAAGAGTTTGAATTTGTGCACAAAAGTTGCTGTGGCAACAACACGTTTCAAGATGGCGTTTCAAGATATTTTGGCTTTAAAGTAATTTAACTCGTAAATGACATTGGTGACCCCAAATTTTATTTAAAAAAATGATTTCTCTTAGTATAATCAGTAAATTAGTAAATTTCAGCTCCACAGAATTTTTTTTAAATTGTCAAAATAATTGATTATACTAAGAGAAATAATTTTTTAAAAATAAAATTTGGGGGTCACCGGTGTCGTTTACGAATTAAATTACTTTAAAGCCAAAATACCTGCCATATTGAAACCTCATTGTTGCCATAGCAACGGCAGTTGCATAACTTTTGTGCAAAAATTCAAACTCTTTAGATGTTGTTTTATTTAAGTAAGGTACTTTTTGTTTATCAACAATTAGCCCAGTAATTGTCCAAAAATATGCATCTAAATCGCGAATTTTCCAGTTTTTTAAAACCTGTATTGAGCCACCTTAATTTTATTCTGGCCATATTGAAATAGTTTCAAATTTCTGGACACATGCATGAACATGTACTACAGTATCACCGGAATCAGTATTTAGAGTTTCTTTTTCAGATATACTGTGGGAAAGAGGCTTAGGAATTAAGGCAGGGGAAACATTAATGTTTTATGACGTCACAGCCAGGGTTTTTTCAGGATTTTCTCTTGGGTCCGTTTTTGCAGAGAAGATTGAGTTTAGCTGAACAGCTGGGGTGGCTGCACCCCCCCCCCCCCCCCACCGGGGGCTGACACCTGTACTCAATAAATGTAGTTGGGACGGAATGTGTTAAAGCAGGGGCACTAAGGGACACTATAAACTGGTTAAAGATGGCGAATGCATAGTTTTTCTTGTGTTGTGAGATGAATTCCAGCCATTTTTTTTAATTGACAGGTTTCCAACTGAAAACTAATTTCCACACGTCACAAATTTAGCTCAATCAACTTCATTTTACTGCACTGAAACTTTGGTGAGAAGATTGAGTTTCAAAATTAAATTCAAGATTGAGTTTTTGGGGCCGTTTAACGGCCCTCAAAAATCCCTGAAAAAACCCTGGTCACAGCGAAGGAATGAAGCAGAGTCGGCAAGTACCGTACGCAAGCGTTTTTTTGCCAGCTACTCCTTGGCTAAGCTGCAACTTCCTTCGCCTTAGCGTCATCAAACATTCACAATGTTTTACCGCCTTCCTAAGCGTCTTCTATTTCTGGAAAAAAAACATTCTACTGATTTTGGTAATATATTAGTCTATATAAATAATCTGCATTGCTGTACTATTAGATTTGTTCAGTACTTGACCAAATTGATTGAATTTTTTGTCAAGGCAATCCTCATAGGTCTTACAACAGATCTAATACCGGTAGAGTTGGTAAGTATATATACAGTATAAGTTATTTTAACTTTAAACTGGGATTTGTTTTCCTTTTGTTTTTCTTTAAATAATTACCTATATATTAATTTATTTTATTTTGCTTACCATGTTTCTATAGGAAAACGAAAATGTTAATAGAAGTGTGCTGAAAAGGTATGTAAATTAGAATGTTGTCTGACAACACAGGAAGAAATAAAATATGTGTCACCCACACAACGCAAAATTCCCATTGGTCGAAATCGATGTGTCTGTCAATCAAATCTGATACGTAATAATAACTTCTTATTAACCGAACGCGAGGTCTGTACAGAGAAATATCGGACGGGGACCTTTTTTATACAGACCGAGCCCATAGGGTGAGGTTTGTACAAAAAGACTGAGGTCCGATATTTCTCTGTACAGACTGCGAGCAAACGAGGTTAATAAAAAGTTTATTATATGGCATTTACAGGCATTTATACTTGAAACAAGCAAGAAATACACAATTTTAAATGCATATTAGCAGCGTGGTACACATTTTGTTGAAGAAAATTTAAAAAAATACCAATGTATTCTTTCTTTTCCACTAAAAACCATACACAGATATCTTATTAATAACAAATTAAATTATAATTTTCAAATTTTCAGTTGGTTTTGCTGTTTTGTTTTAAAATTAATGCGTTTGTTTTTACTTAATGGACTGCCGGTCTAGCTTGATCTTCATACATATATAATGTACTGTATATAACTATTTTTCTACATAGTGAAGTATTAAGTGAACACAGTCAGCCTCAAATTAATACTGAAAAAGATGAAAAAGATTTTTTGCCACCCTTTTGGTCTGTATCGCATTCAAAGACTGAGGTTAGTGAACTATTAATACATGATTTATAGATATTTTCAGGCTCGTACAAACAAGCCCTTGACTCATGATCTTTGCAACATATTAGGAAAGTGGCTCAGAGTCTGAAACTGAGGACGACATGCTGCCTGGCAACCAGTGTCACCAGTGCCTTGGATTGTTTTCTTCCAGAAGCAACTTGACCAAGCATCTGAGATTAGGTCGTTGTAAATCCAAGAAAAGGTAAGCATTGTTGTTATTCCAATGTAAATGTAGTAGTAATTCATGGCTGCATGGGCAGATGTTAAGGCCGTTTTCCACAGGTGGAATTTTCCACGCGGAGCGGAATTTCTCTCTGTATTTTCTAACTAGTTCCATTCGAGAAATCACAAGATAAAGAAAAACTCTGCTCCGCGTGGAAAACTTCGCCTAGTGGAAAACGGCCTTTATGTTGCTGTGGAGCTGCACTTTATGAAAAGGCTAACTGAAAGGTAAATTGGGTGAATCCCCAGAAAACATCAATACTCCCCCAAAATGGAAATAGTTCAGTTTTACCTTTATGTCTGTCCATATTGGGGAATTTGAAGTTGTGGATCGTTTTTGACTTGAGAAAGGTGTAATTGTAGGCTATACCTGTATATACCCCAAAAACCAAAGATACTCTCAGAACCGCACGCTTAGTTTAAATGTATTTTATACAAGTAACCACAAATTTGATAAAAGAAGTTGACAGCACTTCAGAAGATACCAACATCCTCTCAGAATTTTTTTCAGAATTTTTGCTCTGAAATATTTAGACTAAGTTTGCAAACCAAAATTATTACAGCCTTGTTGGGGTCCTACTATAATCCTTATGGCTTGACATACAGTACTACTGATGAACCATTTCCTCCGTTCCTTAAATTATGTTTGAGCAGATGTGCTGTATATACATGTATTAAAAAAGTAATACTAACTGATGTATCCAAGTTGGAAATTAATACCAATATATTTGTACAGAACATTCATAGCAGCCTTGGCTAATTAGTTACTGTACCTCAAGTCGAAATAGCATAACCTTTACTTCATTTCTGACTACCATATACATGCTTGCCCATTTTGTGCAAAATTTCATGTCCAAACACCCCCTATCCTCCTTATCAATGTTGTGTAACACCTTGGACGTATAACACACTACACACAACATTGAATGGGGAAAGGGGGGGGGGGGTTTGCTATGCTTGTTATTGATGTGGGAGTCAAATTTCGCACAGTCGGTGTCAAGTGCGCCAATATTTTTGACCAGGATTGTAGGTACTACACATCATGTTGTACTGTAGTTTTCTTAGCAAAGTATTATGCGATCTTGTTTTAGAAAACACACAATGGCCTTTGGCGAAAATGAGAAGGAAAATAGCATTATTCAACCTCCCGATTTGTTTGTTTAGTAAGTTTGCATACACTAATAATGTATTTTCTTCTGAAAAATTCTAAACTCATCAAATACAAATAGAAGCTTGTGTAAAGAGTCATGCGATGAGAGGCTTTAGGTATTGTAAAGACGAGAGGATCTTGTAGAATATTTGTCACTACTGCACTATGCAATGCATATACCAATTTTTAATCTTATAAAATAAATCCATGAAATGCTGATTGCAAGAAGTTATTGTTTGTTTTTAGATATTATTGATAATTATATATAAAAATAGGTATGCATTATTGTGTACATGTGGGTAGCCTTGATATCAGAAAATTGAGATTCCATGCATAACAGATTCAATGATCATAGAAATAGTGAAACTTCAGTAATTAGGTGGCAAATATTGAAACTTAAGTTCATGGGGAATTTTCGCCATCAGTATAATTATGCGTTGTTATTATTCGCATCTTGACAGCCCCGATTTTATAACCAGACGACTTTTACGTCTTTACATCTGGTTATTTACTTATTTTTCCAGGTCATATCATCGGCAGTCCGCTTTATACACATTTTCAGATTTGTACAGTTTCCTATTCAAAATTTCTCATTCCAATCTTTAAGTTCTCGTGGTTTCAAAAACATCGAGAAAAACATTTTCAAATTTGTAATATTATATGGTCTCAAGGAGTCGAGTGGTCGCAAAAATATTTTATCCATTTGAACATAAAGAATCGTCTCAAATCGTGGAGTGCTCGGCCAGACGACAATTTCCGAATTTATCATCTTGGCATCCATTGACATCCTTGTTTCAGTACAACATAGTACCTAGCAAATGTTAGATATTATTAGATAAAAATGTTCAAAGTTTACTAAACTTCATTTTCAAAAACCATGATTTTATTTTACTTGCGATCCAGATCAATGATATTTAGATAACTTTTCAGGTGAACTGTAGATTAAAAAATAAATATACGTATATTTTTATTTGTTTCATTTTCAGTAACCAGAAGCGACTCTTACCAGCCCTATGGGACCACTGTGCAGTCAAGAAAGTAAAAAAACTACACTATGACATCGATGGCGTTTGTGTCTACGAATTGGATTATGATGCTGCAAACATGATGGGGAGTAGTAAAGATGGAAGACCATGGAGAATTTGGCACACCTCAAGAAGGAGTGGTTATGATGGAATAAGAAGAGTAGCAACATGTGGGGGCACCTACCAGTGTAATAACAACAGATGTCCATACCTCCATTCGTATTCGAAGACAAATAAAGTCCAATTTAAAACGGTGACGTCACAGGTCACATCCTGCGCTTGTTGTGGTTATGAAGCTGTGCCAGTACCATGTGATGCAAAAAAAGTATGGGAATTCAGCAATGACACTCTTCTGGTTTACCACTGTGGTAAACATTCGTGTGTGGCGAAGAAGCAAATATAAAGCAAAAAGTGGTCAACAAGGAGAATTCTGCAGGCCATTCCTTTGATGCACTTGCTAAAATTAAAGAGGCCAGTGATGTCATCGATAAGTTCTATGGGACGTGAAGGACGGTAGAGTGGCAGATATGACGGCAGTATTCCGTTCCAGTAAAGAACCTGTTGAGATCGCAGCACAAATGCAGAGGGGTAATGGCAACCCGTTGGGAGACGAGTTTTGTTTTATTGACGCGGAACATGACAAAGTGAAAGGCATGAAGACCATCAACTTGTCTGTTCAACACCCTGTTTTAAAAGAATGTGTGACCATTGCAAGCATGGATTGCACATCAGAATCCACGGAGACTTTGTGCGAGTTCTGGAGACAACTGAACAATGTAAGTGATAAACATTGATGTACATTACAGTACAGTACGTGTATAGTACTGTTATTAGATCACATACTACATTCTGTTGTACTACAACACATGTTCGCAGGCTAAAATACACATTGGAAACCACATGCCTATTTTCCTCAGTTTAAACTTTCGATGTGACAAAAAGAAAAAATCCGACGAAGAAATCATGTACGAACACGAAATTCCGATTATTCAAAGTTGCATGAAACTCGCATTACTTAAGTGTTAGGCTGTTGGTTTTTTATTATTTTACCATTTTTATCATGCGATATTAATTGTTTTGCAGGCTTTGCGGGAATATACTGATGACATGACGTATATCTTTGATCCAGAAGGAATTATAACGGATGAGCATGGCGGAAACCGTGAAAGTATTCGTCGTGAACTCAAACCTGGCATGGTAGCAAGGTCCAAGTCCTGTGAGCTCCATTTCTATGATTGTGCGCACAAAGTGAGTAAAGCTAATTGGAGTGAAAAGTCGAGAAAGAAATTGATAACCATGGCACATGGTATATATACAGCTGAGACTCCGGGAACATATGAAGCAAGGTGACGAACGCTTTTGGAGTGGGCAGAAAAACCAAAGCGAAATCACGTAAAATCTTGGTTTAATAATTTCTGGCATGTCAGGCAGTAAGCTGAAATGCACAAAGTGGCAATAAAAATTTAGATTGACTCATTTGAAAGAATTGTATATAAATTTTGTATGCTTAGTTCTTGAAATATTTTAATGGAAAGCAATGAGATGTCCGGCATTCTGGATGGATATTTTATTCATTAACGATGGTTTTGGTGACGTCATAAGTGGGTTAGCCATATAAAAGAACTCCTTCGTGACCAAAAACGAATTTGTTATCAATCGTAGATGTTTTATTTAATTATTTGAAGAAGTATCAGCAGTATAATTTTGATCTGATCATCAGAGCTTGATATAAAACATTTTGTGGCCCACTTGTGACGCTAACTTAGATTTTGACAAATATCAAGATTAACAAATATCAGACACCTGAAAAACACGAGAAGATATTGTGATCAAACTTCACATTGGCAAACTATCCAAATATTCTTTTTGTGGCAAGGTTTTTTCAAATAAAATAATGTTAATTTTTATTGCCGACACCCTTCCATTCAATGCAAATTTTCACATAAATAATAGGTCCATGTTTCTTTCGCTTTGCCTATAACAAGGCTAGAAAAATTGCTGATTATCGATAAAACAGTACTTTTGCCAAGAGTCGCGAAAAAGCTAAAAAATTATCCCATTACAATGCAGAACAATTACGATCACTTGTAGATAAATTACTGTCTGAGGTCTTTCGTAATTTTGCTCTCGTGAATTGTGTTTGTTATACTGTACTATACGCATGCAATTGAATGATGCAAATGCAATGGGTTATATTTTTTGTTTTTAAACAGATTCCATGTGTTTCGCGCATTCAAGAACTCCACAGCACCTAATACTAACATGGCTGAGGTGGCTCATTCTAGAAATGCCACATGAGGTGCTAAGAACGACAGTCTTGCCCGAGTAGCAGAAGACCATGTCGTTGAAAGTGCTTTGCTGAAGGCAAAAATTGAAAGGTAAATTTAAAGGCAAGGGATAAAGCTAAAAGGCCAAAACCAAGTGCGAAAAGTACGATGAGAATTACCTTATAAATTACAAGACTATAGAAAGACTATATATGTTCGACAAACAAACTGATACAGACTCTCTTGAGTGTTATTAATAAGAGAAAAATATATATTGATGACTATGGCCGACCCCATCGTCCTTTCCACACGCTTGGCTTTGACTCTTTAGCTTTGTCAGATGACTACCTTGAGGTATTTAGCTGTATACATGTATACAGCTAATTCGAAAATTCTAAACTTTAAACCATAATCTTTAAACTCTAGCTAAGCATGAAAATTGCGATGGGAGCACATGGACGCATTGTATTTATCGTATTTAGTCCGAAGGACTTATCACAATGGAGTGAACGGACAGAATTCCCATCGTCCATTTTGTTCATAGCTACAGAGTTTAGGTTTTGTTTGAAGTTTGAGCTTTATATGTATATGTAATGTAATGCAATGTAATGTAATGTAATGTAAAACCGTTATTTTAACAGGGATACTCTTTCAGAAGACAAGCTTATGCTATCAATAGGGGCCCTGTAAATTTGATCAACTATAGTACCATTAAAATTACAGGAATATATACAAAATATACCACTTCTACTGCTACTATTCTAAAACGAGTAGGCTACATTATAAAAATACTAAGAGTTAAGTCTATTAAAAATCTTACAACCGTTATAATAAAAGGAGCGTTTTGCGGTTTCTGTTCGAACCCTTGGCAAATGAAGCATATTGCTTTGCCTTGTCGTACGGTTATATGTATCACATTAAAAGTGAAATAATCCTTATAATAAAAGGAGCGTTTTGCGGTTTCTGTTCGAACCCTTGGCAAATGAAGCATATTGCTTTGCCTTGTTGTACGGTTATATGTATCACATTAAAAGCGAAATAGTGCTTAACAAATTGAGGACAATGATCGACCCTTAATACACTTTTAACAAATTTAAAAACATGGTTTGCCCACCTATTCTGTAAAGTAGGCCATTTCAGTTTGTCCATAGCTTCGTCACTATCACTAATGTTCAATTTTTAATCTTAGCTGTGCGTCTTTGAAGTTTTTCTAAACAGGTGCTGTTACAAACACCACAACTATCCCAGACAATGTTGCAATATTCCAGAATGGTTGCAATATTCCAGAATGGGTCTTACATAGGATAGATAAATCACATTCGCACAATGTGATGTAATGTTACTCCGTATACGCCTTAGCATGCCTAATCGTTTCCCTACTCTTGAAGTAGTATACTTAATTTAACATGAGCATTCCATGAGACTTTTTCATCAAACTGAATTCCTAAATATTTAAATTCAGATACACGCTTTATCGGATTCCCATTAAATGTCACACGAAAGTCAGTAACTTGAGAAAGTCTAGCCTGTGTACCAAACAACATAGCTTCAGTCTTAGTTACATTTAAAAACAAACTGTTACTGCATAGCCACGAACCGATAACATGAAGATCTTCAGTAAGTTTACTCACAATTGTTGACGCAATCTTCCCTTATTATTCATTTCTACTGTATATTATGTTTCTCTAGTTATGAAAATGGAAGTTACGCTGGAGGTCTGGAGCAGAAAAGAAAGGATGTGATTTCGTTAAGGAGGCAGTTGGACAGGGTAAGGCAGTTTACAAAAAACCTCAGAGAAGGTACAGTTGTTGTCGATGATTACGATGTCCAACCATACAACAAAGAATCGTCTAGTCATCGTGCAAGGCAAGATGATATTAATATGCACTGCAAAAAATCAAATTCTAGTCTAGAACTAGAAAATACATGCATGCAGAAACCCTCGCCTTGCTGACAAAACCGTTGTATTTTCCGAACATGAAGTATCTAAAGTAGTTGTCATGGTAACACCACAGAATAGGAAGTTATACCAGAAGCGTAACTCTAGTCGTTTCCCTTATTGTTTGACGTCCACCAAAATTTTAACTCGCTCACGTCAGGCCACGCCATCCTGGCTAGTACAGCCGGAAGTTTTTATCAGGATTTGGTAGGTACAAAGTGCCGGTTGCACTAGCCAGGATGGCGTGATTGATGACGAATCGCTTGTAAAAACGCGGACAAATATTTGCTCGAGTTACGCTTCTGGTATAACTTCCTATTCTGTGGTAACACGATAATTTTTTAAGAATATTCTTACAAATGAAAATCGCCTAAAAATATCACTTTTAATTACAAAATTATCAATTTCCCAACATATATATGTTAGGTATGTAATTATACGTAATACAAGCTTCAATTTAAGGTAAAATTCAACCACAAACAATTCACAAAACGTTTTAAAGTGTTCTTTAATATAAAACTAAACTGCCTTTAACTATTAAATGGCTTTATCGATAAACTTTGAGTTTGCAATAAAATGATTTCAAATTCTCGCATGCAAATAACTTCGCTTTATTTTTTATTTAAAAAATTCAATATAATAAAAAGGGAATCAATATTAAAGATACACTGAAATTATATGCTGTCTTGTTTAGTTGTTTCATATTAATATACGCAAAGGCCGTCGGGTTTTAAAGCCATTATAAAATCAATATTTAAAACAAACTTACCTTCGTTAACGTCGGCTCCCTTCTTTTAGCCGATTCTTTCGCCCTTTCTTTATGAGAAAACTCTTGAAATTT